CACGCGGGTGGCAGGGAGGGTGTTGGGGCAGCCTCCTGGGCCGAAGGCACAGGGACCCTCGGAATCGGCTAAGTGGCGGTGGGCTTAGGTGACAGGGTTGGGAGGGTCTGGGGGCTTCCTTAGAACAGGATTTGAGTACCTGAGAGATGGAGGAGCTGTGGGAGCCAGTAAGTTGTGGGCGGATGGGCTGAGAAATAGTGTAGATCTTGGGGTAGGGGTTCCTGGGAAGTGATCAGAAAGTTTAGAAAAAGGGCCCTCACTGCGAAAGCAGGGTTACCCTGAGTTGGCCTTGGCCCCACTCTCAGTCTGCTCTGTTGTTTCTGGTTGGGAACTGGCAGAGTTCTAGCATGTCTGAGATGGCTCCCAGCTGCTAAGGAGGAGGAAGGGCCTGACTTCCCACGCAGGGGAGGCCTGAGACAGGGCAAGGGGATTCCAGCCTGTGCAGTGGAGTCCTTGCAAGGGATGACTCTGAGTTACACCAGAGACAGCGGTGGCCAGGCCTGAAGAAGGACACAGCCCGGCCCATTCTGGGCAGACTCTCTTTCTGGCTGGTGTCTCAGTGTCCAGGAGTTGATTAGTTTGGAGGGGCAGAGAGCCTCCACTGAGTCCTGCTGCTCAGGAGCTGGAGGTGCCTGTAAGAGTTGCTTCAAAAGGTTCTGTCCTGATCCCTTTGGGGTTTGGCTTCTAAGAGGGCTTCTCAGGTTGCAGCTTCAAAGGCCATTGAGAGTCAGAGACTTTGTGCCTGTGTGAGGAACTCAGGCTGACTCTGCTGGTGGGGTTCACCAGTCTCCCAGTCCATTGTTTCTGGTTGTCCCAGAATACCTGGGAATTGTGCCCATCCTTTATCCTATCCTCTCTCCACTTTTATTTAGCCTTTAGGTTCTAGCCGTGCCACATCCCAACCCCTGTGCCCAGCATTTGGCACTGACTTCTAGCAAGTTTGAGGGAAGGAAGGAAGCTGAGGCTTCCTCTGTTCTCTCTTTATGCCTCCAAGTAGAGGTCCTAGAAATGGATCCTCATAGAACTGGGTATGCATGTCTCCCAGGAGCCCTGAGCCCTCACTTTAGTCTAAAGAGGTGCTTAACTTGGAACTGATTTTTTCCCCTCCTGCTACTCATTCTCTCCTCTCTCTAAAAAAAAAGGGTTGTGTGTGTGTGTCTGGGTATTGACAGAGACAGACCTGGTCTGGACTCCAGCTCGGGTCTGTCTTATCTTGCTCTCCCCCTTGGGGATTCATGGGCCCAAGGTGTCGCTGAGGGATGCCTGCATCAGTCATCCCAGCCCTGGGGCCAGCTAGCTGAGACCTGGCCTGGGAGCCCTCCTGTGGGCCTTTGGCCTGGGAAGGATCAAAGGAATGATAGGAGCCTCTCAGTTTCCTCTGCTTGCATCCCATGGAGAATGTGCCTTGGGGAAAGCCCCTGGGAGGATGGCTTCCACCACAACTTGTAGGGAGGGAGTGGTCTTGGGCCAGTGACAAGGCTGAGCAGGCTGGCAGGGTATCCCCCAGCTACTGGGGGTGGGGGCTACTAGGGGTGGGGACCTTGAGGCAGGCACTGAGCCTCTGCTTCCCTGGCCTCCCCTCCTCTTCCAGGGAGAGGCAGTAGAGGTAGATAAGGAGAGAGGCTCTCTCTGCCTGAGTTCAAGGAGGATCGTGTTTGGCCTCTTACCAAGTCCAGCTGTGTCCTCGAGAAGAAGGGACTTGACATCTGAGGAGCACGGGGCTTCCTGTCTGCATGAGATGAGCTAGAAAAGAAAGGATTTCAGGACCCATTTGAGCAATAGGGGAGCCTGTTGAAAGAAGGGAAGTGATGACCCATCTTCCTCCAGACAGTGGCTCTAGCTATGGATCACAGTCAAGCTCACAGCTGAGGAGCTTAAAGAAAACAACAACAAAAAACACAGGTTGCTGGGTTCACTCCAGAGAGTTTAAATTATTTTTTACTTGGGGAGGGGTATGTTCTCTTCTAGGCCCTTAGGCCCAGCCACCAGGATCACCAGGGCCACCAACTTTGAGGCAGGGCCGAACATGCTCTCTGGAGGCCCAACCTCCTGCTCCTGGGTGGTAGAGGTAAAGCTTAGGATGTGGGTTGGTGCTAGGCTACAGGGTGAGGAGTTCACTGTGGGCTTCTGGGGTGCAGGGCACTGAGCCAGGCCTTCCTAGCCCTGCTGCAGGTGGGGAGTTAGGGAGCCTGAGAGTTCTGGCTTGCATTCTTTTTCCTTTTTTATAATCCTTGGATTGTTTTTGGAAGAGGAAGAGTTACTGGTAGAGCTTGGCAGGGCCAAGCTGGGACTTCATGAACTAAAAGCAGCCTTCCCCTGGGCCCCTTCCCCCTCTTGGAGGAAGCCAGGGGCCCTGGGTGCGCTGGGGGCTCTGCGCCTGGGAAGACTGGAGCAGATGTCTGGGAGGGGCCTATTCCAGGCCAGCCTGTGCCGCCTTGTCTTGGGACTTCCTGTTACATGAGCACCTGCCCAGGAGGTCGGTTGCTGCAGAGGTTTTGTGGACAGCCCAGTGAGTAGCTTCTTGGGGACCACAGGACCCTAGCTCACACTCTGCGGGTTTCATTTCCTCAGTTGTTCCTCCTCTTTGGATCAGGCACTGGATGGGAAAAACTCACATCTGGGATATCTGGGGGCTGGGTTTACAGCTGTGGCCACACTGACTTTTTTCCTGTAATCTCTGGCCATGGCTCATTAAGGCAGAGAAACGGCTGTCTTTTGCCTTTCAACAGCTCAGATGGATCTCTCCCTGATGAGGAGAGACTTATGGCAGGAATCCTGAGGTCCCAGAGCATGCCCCCCCCCCCCA